GAGAAAATTGATATACTAATACGTACCTACCCACACCCACACCCTCAGTAGCGTATTCTACTACTCGTCACTAGAACATGCCTAAAAACGTGCGATTTGATTGCGACTTTAGTACGTATAACATTAAAATGAAACTTGTTGGAGTTTGCTTGAATCTTAGGTAGATGAATCAGAGATAATCGAAAGAATTAAATGAAGAAAAATTGATTTATTTTAAAGGAAAAGAGAGGAAATTTAATTTTTTGAAAATCTAAATCTTTAAAAAAATTCTGAAAAGAAAATCTGTTTTGAAAAGAAATTAAAGAGTCACTTTTATCGTTTTTTTTATTTTTCAAAAGAATTTTATTTGGAATAGAAAACGAATTTTCTCCTGAAAAATAAATTCAATATGATTTATTTTTCTTGGTAAAAATCGAATATGTTCAATTACTTTTCCTATTGAAATAATAAAAAATTATTTTATTTCATAAATCGTTTCATTTTACTTCTCGTTTTTTGATTATTTTAATACTGATTTAATAAGAAAAAGTCAAAAATAAAATATATTTTTTTAATTAAAATATTTTAAGTCTTTAATCGTTTATTTTATTTTATACAAACTTTTCACTTCAAACTACTATTATTATTGATAAGTTTTCTAAAAAATTCGTTTTTCGTTCAAATTGTTATTTAACAAAGAGTAAATCAACAAAATCTTTTCTAATTTCTTTTTTTTTAAATTAGATCTTTGTCAATTTGTTTCAGCAATAAATTGTTTTTCAACAAAAATTCTTTCTATTCAAAGTTTTCATTCGAAAAAGTAGAAATTTCAAATTCTTTTTTCTTTTTAAAACAAAATATTTCCTCATTTCATTTTGATAAATTTTATTCAAAATAATAAAAAAAAACACTGTTATAAACGTTTCATTCAAAATTCAACTTTGACAAAAAAATGAATTCAAGGTTTCATCGAAAATTAATCTTTTCTTTTTTCTTCGATTAAAAACAGATTTTCTTCAATTTATTAAAATATTTTGTTTTTATCATTTTCTAGAACCAAAATACAAGAAATGGGAACAAAATGCTATTACTGTAGCTGGTGGAAACGGATATGGACAAAAATTACATCGACTCATTCGTCCTGAAGGAATCTTTATTGATAAAAACAAAAATATTTTCATTGCTGATCGTTGGAATCATCGTATTGTCGAATGCAAATATAATTCAAAAGAAGGACAAATCATTGCAGGTGGAAATGGTGAAGGAAATCGAAAGAATCAGTTGAATCACCCAACAGATGTGATTGTCGAGCAACAAAGTCATTCGATCATTATTGCTGACCAAGGGAACAGACGAGTGATCCAATGGATGAATCAAAAGCAACAAATTCTCATTGACAATACTGACTGTTATGGCTTAGCAATGGATAAATACGGATTTCTTTATGTTTCTGATTACGAGAAGCATGAAGTGAGACGATGGAAAATGGGTGAATACAACAACAAAGGAATTATAGTAGCAGGTGGAAATGGAAAAGGAGATCAACTCAATCAACTCAATCGTCCAGGTTTTATCTTTGTCAATGAAGATCAATCTGTTTATGTATCAGATCAAGACAATCATCGTGTAATGAAATGGAGAAAAGGTGCAAAAGAAGGAAGCGTTGTAGCTGGTGGAAATGGTGAAGGAAGAAATCTCAATCAATTGTCTGTACCTCAAGAAATAATTGTTGATCATTTTGGTCAAATCTACGTGGCAGATTGTTGGAATAATCGAGTAATGCGTTGGTATGAAGGAAAAAAAGTCGAAATTCTTGTTGGTGGAAATGGTCAAGGACATTTATCAAATCAATTGAATTGTCCCCGTGGTTTATCTTCTGATGATGAAGGAAACCTTTATGTTGTTGATAATTCAAATCATCGAATTGAAAAATTTTTAACCATTTTGTGAACGAAATTTTTATTTTGAATAAGAGGAAAACAGTTTTTTATTGAATAAAAGAACGGAGAAAATTCTTTTGGACTTTTTTTTTGAAAACTGAATGTAATTTGATGATTTTGATTAAAAAATTCCAATAAATAAACTTTAAATTGTTTATCTTTTGTTGAATTTTCCGAAAGATAAGAAAAGAAAATATTTTGTACTTTTAATTAAATTAGATAAAATTTATTTGTGACGAAGATTTTGTATTTAATAAAACTCTGTTTGAATATTTTTATTTGATGAATATAGTCAAATGCGTTTAGCTTTTTGATCTGATCAAATTCAAAAATTCTTTGAAAATGAGGAAAAAAGAAATCTTCTATGAAAACTTGAAAATAAAAATCGAATTCAAAATAAATTGTGTTGAACAAAACAAATATTAAAAAGATTTTCATATAGATGAAAACAAAAACACGACTCGAAGGAAAAGCGGACCAAGAAATTGAAATAAAATAAAACAGTAATGAAAATTTTGAAATGATACAAAATACAAAGTTGATTTTTAATTTCAAAGAGCTTCGATGAACGAATCGTTTTTTTGATTTCTCTTAATAAAGCTTTCAAAAAGATTTGTTATAGTTTTCATAAAAATTTAATTGTTGTTTTATCATATTAAATTCATTTCATTCAAATCAATGAAGTTTTTTGTGGAAATATTTTCGTTTTGTTATTGTTTCTTCATTGAAATTTGATGAAAATAAAAACCATTTAAAGGTATTTTTATTACTTAATCTATATTGACAAGTCAAAGTGAAATTTCGTAGGAAAAACGTCTCATTAGAAGAATTCAATAAATATTTATTATGAAATTAAAATTAGTCGAAGGTGATAAAAGTTTAATAAATATGATCAAGTTTCATGATGAAATCAATTGCAAAGTCTATTCTTTAAATATCATCAGATTACTTTGCCAACAATACGTTCAACTCTTGGGAAATATCTTTGTTTGAAAATATGAAAATATTTCTATGAAGAAATTAAAATAGTAATATTCTCAATAACTATTTATTAATACAAATTTATATGAAAACAATTTATTTTCTATTTTATTAAAAACTATATATTGATACATAAATTTCATTATAAGAAGAATTCATGAATAAATAAATATTATTTATTATTTTGTAAAATTATGAACATTGGTAATAATTCGAATAAAATAACAAGTCCAAACAACTAAAACAAGAATTTGTATCAATGAAGGATTTAATGTTATTGTTGAATTAGAGAGTTTTTATGAGATAACAAAGATAATTTGAAAAATATTAAAGAAAAAAATATAAAAATTGTTTTTTTATTCAACAATATTGATTATTATTCAAGATTTAAACAATAATATTCAATTTTATCGAATTATTTAAAATTTAATTAGATAAAAATGATTTCATATGAGTTATTATATTTATTTGAACACTTAAGAATGATAAATAATAGATTCAACTACATAGGACACTAGAAAAATCCATACGACACCCCCCAAGAAGGATCTACGGTTTAATTAGAAAATCTTCTATTTTTCTATGAATTTTTCTTTTGTTGATTAATCATACGTAAAAGGACGAATTGAATGAACTTATATTCATCTTAGAATACAAGTTTTCTTATTGTAAGTTAAAAATATTGAACAGATATTATAATGAAATAAAAATTTTCATAACTAAATTAACAAAATTAAAAACATTAAGAATATGACTATTAAAACTGTTCTCTACTACTACCATTCTTATATTTTATGATATATGTGCACAATATTAATAACAAAAATGAAAATAAAGTTAAACGATAATCAGATGAATGTATGATATATTCATTATTGTTCTCATTTACATTCTTGAAATCTAGTTATTTTGTTATGTGATATAGACAAAGTTGAAAATTGATGTATGAATACTATTTTTATTTCATTCTTATCCAAAAGATTTTGATCGTTCATTATTTGAAAAATTTCAATTACTATTTCTTTACATTTGATCTGTGGTAAAATAAATACATAGAACTATCGATTTTGATGTATATTCACATGTAGAATGTATAAATAATGTGATTTCAAACTTTAATAGACACTGTCAGATCAGAAATAAATTTAGTCATACGAATTTGAATACGAAAGATCATAGAAAATGTATGTGAGAAAAAAGATTAATTACTAAAATTAAGTAAAATTCATTTATAATAAAGATCGACTGTTTGATTTTTGGTACGACTAGAAAATGATAATGAACAAGTTATATTGCATGATTGAGAACTTTATTAGAAATTTTTATTCAATCAATATCTAATATTCGATTTAGAGATATCTTGCCAAACACATAAATCTTTTATTTATTACAAAATATTATAAATAGAATTCCTATGAGATCAACTATTCACACGAATCCATATCATGTTAACAACATTATTATTTGCAAATATCAATCACATATTGTATTAATTTTATATAATATTAAATAAGAATTCCATTAAAGACTAAAACTAAATTATATTCATTAATATTATCATTATTCGATATATTTTCAAATGTTTAGAAAAAAATTTTGTGATTATAATGTAAGATTTTTAAAGATTGAAGGTCTCAATTATCAATGCATACATGTATTTATTCTTACAGTTCACCATTTTAATGCTTTTGTTGTGATAATATTTCGATATTTCAAAATGTACCTTTTCATTATATAATATGCAATAATAAATGATAAAATTTCGTACGAAAAACTCAATAATTTTCAAAGAACAGTATTTTTTGTAGATCATATAAGAAAACAAAAAGGAATGTATCACATAATTGTCGTATATTTAATGTTACTTTTCAAAAGGATTTCAAATAATAAAAAGAGATGTTTTCTTTTTCATATAAAAAAACTGGTTTTATTTTAGACAATAGAAATTCATCGCATAGAATAAGGGTATAGGTGCGAGTGATCCTCAACTTCTTTTACTCCCTCCCACACCCACACCCTGTTCATATTCTTTTGAATCAAAATTATATGCGATATAATAATTATCTTGAATTATATTTAATGTTTTACGATCAACTTTTTCGCTGATACTTATAAATCCATGATTCTGAATAGATAACAACAAATTTAGAAAAAATAACTTCGTATTATTCAGAAATTAAGTCAGCATATTCTATTCACTGATACTTGAGTGTAGATATTAAATCTTTATTTCATAGGGTGTCAACGAATATCATCAATAATTTCTTTAGGTTCTTTAAATCTTTAAATCATCAATGTAGTAATTATCAAGACGCTAATAAACCAATGATTATTCAGTTTTCAATCAAAAACATTTAGAATATGTTGCATGATGGTGACATCTTTCAAAATTAATAGCTTATTTTAAATGTACAAGATATATGGAATAGAGCAGCCAATCCGTTTATTAGTCTTCTTCGTTCTTCGGCTTCCGCTTTGGCCCCAAACAGACCGAAAAAATGAATTAACGTTCAAACTGACTTAACCAATACGATGACGTTTTATGAGATAAATCATCTTTTTTAGACGATTTATCTCGATAATGAGCCAATTATATCGCTTAATTCAACTTTAACGTTAATTCATTTTTCTGTCTGTTTGGGGCCTTTGTACAATTACCATGACCCCAAAGAAAATTTGTATCTATGTTTTCTTTCGTTCTATTGTATTAATATAGGAATTCCCTATAATAAATAATAACTAGTGAGTGAATGCTTAATATTTTTCTCATCTCTAATGTATGAATAGATACTTTTGCTGTAAAAGTTTAATTTATTTTAATTCCTAATGTTTTTTTGATTTTGGTGACGAACAAATAATTAAATACACAGATGAATAAAATAACATGAAAAAAAAACGAAACCAGAAAAAAACAAAAAAATACGACTTTATCGAAGGAGTTTCGAAATAAAAAATGAAATAAGATTAACGCGAGAAGAATAAAGAATGTTTGTATATAATTTTTATTTTTTATTCTCTTTGAACAATACTAATACAAATAATAAACGATGCAGTGAGTGTTGATGTGAATATATGCTAGAATATATACAGAGACATTTATATCCATATCTTCTAACTACTCAGTCAATTTTGAAGACAATTAGATGACTTTTATGCTATTCGTTTCATCATACATTTCTACGTTCAAAAGAGAAACCATATATGAATGTTTATATGAAATTTTTTAAATACAAATAAAACCTATTGATACATTTGAAAAAAAAGAAGTCTTTATCGAGGATATTGACTGTATCTTATTAGATACACATGTTTCATTAATGCGAGACAGTTGTCTAATACACCTCCATTTTCTTTTCTTTTTCTAGAAGATTAAAGGTAGGCTTCATTGCGAATATGACAAGAATAATTATTACGTACGCAGATTTCTTCATGTATTCTTACTATAATGAAGGAAATGTTTAGAAATGAAAATAAAAAAGTATTAGTCTTAAAGATACTGGAGAAATTGCATTTCAATGTTGTGATTTCAAAGATAGTTGGAAAATATCTGTTAAAGAATCTATGAAAATCTTGGGTGTGGGTGGGTGTAGGTATGAGAGTGTGTGGTTGTGGGTTTGAGTGAAGTAGGAATATTCACCCACACTCACCCTTTTGATGAATATCATAAAAGGACGAGTTTTTTTTCAAGGGGAATGAAACCTTCTTCCATACTAGTAACTGTAGGATTTATAAAGAGAATAGTTTTGTTAAAATTAGACTATGACAACAATAGTTTGTATTAGTTACAGGACGATTTCAGCATTCTAAGAAAAATAGGTTTATTAGTAAAACTATATCCATACGAAACCTGAAAAGTTCTTCCCACGAGTACGGGTTTGATGATAAACCTATTTTTTAGTGTACCTTTGGTACCATATTCTTTCGACAAAAGAATGAAAGTTTCGAACTCGAAATTTCTAACAAAAGGTGTATTATGTCTGTAAAATTTTTGAGGGAGTTCGAACTCACGAAGTTCCATGACATGGTCACTATAGAACTTTTAGAATTCAGACAGTATCGAATGAGGAAATATAATAGAAACACTTACAAAGAAATAAAATATCGCACGATCAGAGCCACGCTATGAAAATTAAGAAATCTTTTTCTTGGCATATTTTTTTTCGATTTGCCATGCTAGAGTGTGAGTGTGGATATCCTTCTTCTGCCACGTCCACACCTGCACCTACCGAAACCCTTATCCCCACACTTACACGCCCCAACTATCCTACACCCTCATACCCTTACTCAAATCCTACTAATTCTGCTTCCAAAAATTATTATTACTAAACAAATGTATTCTCGTTTCAGATTCTCTAATCATCACATTTTGCTTTATCAAAAATGTTTCCATTTCTGCTCACCGCTGGTAGCATTATTGTTGGAGCTATTTTTGGCTGGAAAATTGTTGGAATAGCCGATAATGCTCAACGTGATGCAACTTCTGTTGCTCAGCAAGCTGTAAATGTAGTTGATAATGCTCGACGTGACGTAGCTTCTATTGGTCAGCAAATAATAAACATAACCGATGACTTTGTACGTGGTGTTGCTCAGAATGTCAATCTAATAACTGATGCTTCTGTTTGGTCTGTTATGACGTTAACTAATCGTGTCACTATTATCATGTATATGTTGGCAGCTACTGCTTTGGGTTTGATGACCGTATGTGCACTTGGCTTTCTTTTGTATTTATCTCATTTCTCACCATGTCTTCAAGCGATTGCCTGGACTCTGATGGCTGCCGCGTGCTCTTTTATGTTTCGCATGTATGTTCAACATTCAAGGATCTGTTGGCATATGATTAAAGGTGAGACAAATATAAATGATGAATTTAATACGCACATCCACATCCAATAGACTTATTATTTGTATATAAGAAGGTTAAATACCCTTGTAAATGTTTATAGAAATGCTTCAAAATCATCCTGTATCATTTTGTAGAGTCCGTGATAAGTAAGAAATTCGTGGAAATGATCATCCCATGTTTTGATGTTGATATGAAAGTAAACATATGTTTAGTGTTAAATTGATTCATTTTTTCAGAATGTGATTAAAGGTAAACAAAAGTTAATAAAAATTACAAAAATCATGAAATTGTTGTGTCAGAAGCGTTCCTCTCTTCCATTTTATACTGTAGAAAACTAAAATAGAACTTAATTAATATTATTATCTCAATTAAATTAAGTTGAAAAATGTTTTATTTCTAAAACTAAAGCTATTCGAAACTACTATGATATACTATGAGATTTTTTAAGTATAAAAGTATGATATATTTATTTGGGAGAAATGTCTTTTGATCATCGAAAAAGGAGTGAAATGATCACCAAATTAGAAAAAACCGTTTAAAAATAATCAAATAGAGTAAGAAAGGGTGATTTGGCACATGAATTTTTATTTTTGTGTTATTTTGCTAATAGTTTTTTTTATTTTTAAGGATGGAAAACTTTTTTGATTACAAAACATCTAGTAAAAATATTTCTCTATCGATTGGTATTTTTAATTTCTAAAATTCTCTTCTGATAAAGTTGCAGCAGTCGTTTAAGTGAGACTAACTAATAGTTTTGCCAAATTACCCCGCATGGGGTGATTTGGCAATCCCATTTATTTTACTGATAAACAATAAAATCTAATTTACTAAGCTATTTTAAATTATTTTTTTATAAAAATTATACCATTCGACAGTTCAAACATTTCTCTACACACCTATACTAATCTTTGTTTTCACCTTTTTACCACATCCAGGTGTAATCATTTACAAAAAGATACCCAAAAAAAGTTGTGCAAAATTACCCCTTCTTACTCTATTTTATTATTTTTAAACTGTTTTTTCTAATTTGGTGATCATTTCACATACAGATAAATTAGGTGATCATTTCACTCCTTTCTGGTGATCAAAACACTACTCGTCCAAACTAATATATAAATTAATAGTAATTATTATCTATTTATATCTTTCTTTTTTATACTAAAATATTTTAACATTTTTCTTATATATGAAAATTAAAAGAAGTCCAAAGAGAAAAAAAATATTAAATCATAAAAAATCATCTAAATGAATTTTGTTTTTGAAAATCAAATTCATTTTCTTTTATAAATGAATATCATTTCATATTTTATATAGGAAATTCTGGAATTTATATTCAAAAGATAAAATATCAACAAATTCGCTCTCTTTATATCTTTATTGAGAAACTCTAAAATCATAAAATCGAATTTTTATTCGTTCCATTTCAAATTATTTCAAAAACTTAAACAATAGTTCTAATAGTCCAAATAATTTTTTATTTATCTCTTCAAAACAAAAATATTCTATTAAAATTTTTTAATATTCTTATATAAAGTAAATTAAAATAAACTATTTATTTTTCTATTATTATCAAATAAAGTTATTGTATTTTCTCTTTTTTTAAGATTCTTTTCAATCAAATCATTCCACAATTAGTACACCGACTATATCAAAGAATCCAATAACAACCCAGTCTCAAGTAAAACAAAGTATGTTTCATTAAATAAAAAATACTTTTATTGCTTTTAAAATTGAGATAGAACTTTTTCATAAATCATTTTTATGAATTAATTTATACGAATGAGAGTAAAAGTTAACATCGAAAGTTTTCTTTTCTAATTAAATTAAATATTCTTCACAAATATAGAGAAACATTTATAGAATTGTTAATCAAATTAATCATTCGAATAGTTTTCTAAAAAAGAAAATAAAATTATATTAAGAGCTAAATCAGGCGTGTCATGTTACCTGTTACTATCACTTCCACTTACCCAGGTCACAGTAAGTGTTTTCATAATTGAAAATATCATATTTAACAGCGATCAGTCACTAGTTTTACTATTGATTGTTGATTACGGAATGATAATTAGATCACTTACCAGTTACCTGGTAACTGATATGACTTACCACTTACTAGTAACAGTAACCACTTACCAACGATATGGTAAGTACTAGCAGAAACCTTTTTTGACAGCCTCTTACCAACACTTACCATATCATTGGTAAGTGGTAAGTGTTATCAGTTACCAGATAACTGGTAACCAGTACCACTTACCACTTACTAGTAACAGTAAGGGGAATGTGACACCCCTGGCTAAATATATTTATTGAAAATTAAAATTAATTAGACTAGTTTTGTCTTTCATCATAAATATTTTTTTTATATTATGATTAATTAATTATCAAGAATAAAATAAAATTTATTTTACAAATAATATCATTATTTCATCTATAGAATTTATTCAAAATATTTATTCTCTTTAAAATTAAATATAAAACTTTCAAATCATTTTCTTAATTATTTATTCATTCTTTTTTATTTAATTAGAAATTATTTATTTTTACTTTATTTTTTCTCACTTAGTAAAGTATTCTAAATTTAAATTGGTAAAATATAAAATCATCTATAATTCTTTTAAACATAAAAATAAACAAATCAAAATAAAATAAAACATTTCTGCTACAAACAATTAATAAATATTAAATTCACATAGCAATTTTCATTATTTTAATAAAAGATCAATTGAAAAGAAATATTTTCTAATTAGAAAATTATTCTTTGTTCTTTATCTAATCGAATAAAACTTAGTTTTTCTCAAGAATATTTTTTTAATAATAAAATTTCATGAATTTTCTTTTAATTTAAATTATTCGAATTCTATTTTTTTTTACATTTATCAGCACAATTTTATTGTTGAGAATAATTCTATTAAAAATATTTTTAACTCATTTTTTAGTTTAAGTATTTACTTTAAAACAATTTTTAAAAAATAAAATTCTTCTACTGAATTAAAAATCAATTCTTTTATGAATTTTCAAATCATTAAAATAATCAAAATTCAATAAGATTTTTTTCTTTCAATTAAATCACATTCCAAATATTCTCTTCAAGATTTTTATTTAAATCATTGAAATAAAAATGATTTTCATTTAAAAAAATATTTTCCGAAATTGAACGTTTTTGAAAATCAAATAAATAATTTTTGAATTAAAAAATTTGAAGAAATTTTTTAGGATTCATTTTGTTCATTAAAAATTAAATTTAAGAAAAAGAAAATTTTATTTTATTAAAATAAATGCAAATACAAGTTTTTCTTCTTATTTTCGTCTTTTTTTGATTTAAAACTAATGAAAAAGATTTTGAATAAAACGAAAATCTTTTGTTTTAGAACAGATTCAAACAAAAAAGAATCATTATAAACAATTTGGAATTACCGTTGCTGGACGAAATGGACACGGAGAGAAATTCAATCAACTCTGTTATCCTGAAGGAATCTTTATTGATAATGATAAATCAATATATATTGCTGATTTTGGGAATGATCGTATTGTTAAATGGAAATTCAATTCACGTATTGGTCAAGTCATCGCAGGTGGAAATGGACGAGGAAATCAAATTAACCAATTGGACTGTCCAACAAATATAATTTTTGATAAAGAAAATAATTCTTTTATTATTTCTGATTTATGGAACGGTCGAGTAATTCGATATTTTGATGAAAATCAGACAAATCAACAAATTCTTATTTCAAATATTTCTTGTCATGGTCTGACAATCGATAAAAGTGGATCTATTTATGTTTCTGATTGGGGGAATCATGAAGTAAGACGATGGAAACAAGAAGATAAAAAAGGTGAATTAGTTGCAGGTGGAAATGGTAAAGGAAATCATCTTAATCAACTCAATTGTCCTACTTATATCTTTATTGATAAAGATTATTCTCTTTATATATCTGATCGTGACAATCATCGTGTAATGAAATGGAAAAAAGATGCAAAAGAAGGAATTATTGTTGCTGGTGGAAATAGTAATGGAAATAGTCTCGAACAATTAGATCATCCTCATGGAGTGATTGTTGATCATTTGGGTCAAATCTATGTGGCAGATTATGAGAATCATCGAGTAATGCGTTGGTGTGAAGGAGATGAAGAAGGTGAAATTGTTATTGGTCAAAATGGTAAAGGAAATCAATCAAATCAATTGATTAATCCCAAAGGTTTATCATTTGATAATGAAGAAAATCTTTATGTTGCTGATTGTAACTATGATCAAATCCAAAAATATGAAAAATTTTGAAATTAAAGATCTTTTTAATTTAATTTGATGAAATTTTTATTTTTATATTTGAAAATAAAATAAAATATTATATGAAAAACCTTGAAGAAAAATAAGTTAGTTTATCTTTCAATTTTAGAAAAGAAAGTAAACAAATATTTTATTATTATTAATTTTAAACTATAAAATCAAAATAAATAAAATAATTTTGATAGAACTTTTGTTGAATGAATAAAATTAAATTAAAATATAAAGTGCAGTGAAGACGATAATTTATATAAATATA